ACCGTCTTGAATGTTACTTCACTAGGTCTACATTCGTTCTCCTTCATGTAGCCAATAACATCATTTGCCTCTCTGAACATCTCCATGTTCACATATCCAGCAACAAAGGTGTTGTAAGTTATCGCGCATGGCCTAATCCCTGAAGACATCATCTCTGATAAAACCCTCAAGGCCTCATTCATCAGCCCTTGCTTGCAAAATCCATTGATTACAGTGTTGTAAGAAATCAAGTCAGGTTCAAACCCATGTCTATGAAGTGATTTTAGAATCTCTTCGGCTTTCCAACACTCCCCACCTCTTGCATATAAGTCTATCAAGCTATTATACGTAATAAGATCTGGCTTCAAGCCATTGTCATTGACCAAAGTAAACATATCTTGAGCTCGGTCATCCATTCCATTCTTCGCATAGATCGAGAGCATCGAGTTGAGAATTACCAAATCCGGCTTGTACCCGCTTTTATTTAGCTCTTCAAATGCCCTCTCCATACCTTGCAAAGCTCTACATTTGAAGTTAGCAATGATGAGGGTTCTTAAAATCACCCAAGTGGGAAAGATTTCACCTTTGTAAACTCCCTCTTCAATTGCTTCTATCCCTTCTATATGTCTTGCCTTTGCATGACTTTGGAGCAAAAGGGAGTAAGAGAGCTCATTCGGCTTGAATCCCTTCTTCCTCATATCATCCATAACTGACTCTGCAGCCCTCCAATCACCTTTTCTTGCAATTGCATTCAACAAAGCATTGTAGGTTGTAAGACAAGGGCTAAATCCCACTTTAGCCATCTCATCATACATCTTCAAAGCATGAGAACCCGATCCACAACGACCATAAGCTGCAATTAGGGTATTGAAGGTATCTCGATTAGGTTCAAGCCCACAATTCTTCATCTCGACAAAAACCCTATTCACATACCTCTCCATTCCTCTCTTTCCACACATTGCCAACATAGTATTCCAAGTGACTCTGTTCGGTATACAACCATTAGAGTTCATCTCAAGAAGAACTTCCAACATCTCCCCGGACCTCGATTTCTTTCCAAGCAATCCAAGAACAGTGTTATAAGTGGAAACATTAGGAACACAGCCCAATTCCTTCATCCTGTAGAACAAATCCAATGCCTCATCCTCCCTCCCAGCTTTCCCATAAGCACTTATGACCGTTGTGTAAGTAACAGAGTTCGGCATAATGCCTTTGGCAGCCATTGTATCCAACACAGCGGCTCCTTCATCACAAAATCCAGCTCTGGCATAGGTAGCAACTAACTCATTGTAAGTAATAGCATCAGCTTCACAATTGCATTCCTCCATTTCTTTCAGAATCCTCAGTGCCTCGGGGTAGTTTCCGGCCTTGCCAAATACTTGAAGTAGAGAATTATAAGTTACGGTACCCGGAACATAGCCTTGAGACTTCAATTGTTCGAAGAACTCCATTGCCTCCTGTAACAACCCTTCCCTCCCACAAGCAGCTATCACAGTGCTACAAGTGAACTCATCAAAATCCAACCCATTACTCCTCATCTCATCCAAAAGACCCAGAATCTCCCCCCAAGACCGTCCCTTTCGGCCATAAACATCAAGCATCACATTGTAAGTCACAACGCTCGGCAGCAGACCCTTCTCTTTAATCCTCTCGAACAACAAAATCGCCTTACTATACCCCCCCGCCCTCGCATAGGAATGTAGCAACGTTGTATAAGCACGGATGTCAAGGCGATAATCCTCCACAGGAATTACATCAAACACCTTGCACGCAACCGAGTGCTGCGACGCCCTGCCTAAAACCCTGACAAGGGTCTCGACGGCCGGGGCGTCCAGCTGAAGGTTGGCCGAGACCCACTGAAAGAGGACGAGGGCCCTCTCCCAATCCCCCAAGATCTCCAACCCCTTCAGCAGACTGACCGCGTCCACCTTGAGAATGTCGGGCCTC